CGAGCTTTTGTACGAAAAGTATATCCATTGATAGCATATATATCGTATTTAATAATGTTCTTATTGGGTCAATGTGAAATCCATCTCAGTGTCTCTGTTATACTTTCTCTACAGCCCCCTAACTCTCTCTCTACCTGAATTGTAATTAGATAATGAATTTAAGATATAAAGAAATACATAACAAAAAACACAACATATATGAAATGAATATATCTCCTTTCGTAACCAATGACCAAATGTATTACTGTGCTCTTGTTCTAGCTGTGCCTTTCGTTTAGTAGGGTGTTGATGTTGCAAAAAATCCAAGTGTCGTCTGTCAATACGTTAATGTTAATATTATAACAAAAAAAACATACATGTAAAAAAACTTACTTGATATACGGGAGTACTTCAGATGTATTGTGCAATACAAAGAAATGTGTTTTTCTGAATAGTTCGGCGGAAACTTCTACCGATTTAGCAGCTGATAGAGGACTACCGTCCGTAATAGAACTACTATCTACACCTATTTGAATTCCACATGTGTTATGATTTTCAGGGGGAATACCAAATTGTCGACATGCATAAAATCTATACAATGTGGAATCAAATTGTCGCGCCAATACCTTAGCTGTCTATACCATATATTGAATTTCTTCCAGTATGTATTATTTTGCTGGCCCACATCTGAAGTACCCACTTTCTGTGATTTTCTCTTTTTTTTATTTATCTTCCCACCTCTTCCACTTGTAGATTGTTGGATTTCTGCCTCCTTGCCCTTAGACACCTTTCCCCATTTATTAATTATAAATTTGACCCTGTTATATACTTCCTCCCCATTCATAGGTTCTGGAGAGGGTGAGAACTCTTGTTGTCCATTGAATGCCTTTTTTGTCTTCTGAACGGGTGATCATGCGGTAGAAATCGTCTATGACCAACATAACTCTGCTTTTCGATCCAGTGAGTCAAATGCATTGTTTCTTCGGCACACACAACACAACCTTGAAATCCGCTGTATGGACAACCACTTAATGTACCTAGAGCAGGATAATCATTAATAGTCCATAACACTACTGCACGTAGTTTAAACTGCTCTTGTGCATATGCATCGTATGTTTCAACTCCAATATCAAATAATAATTGCAAATCATCAATAAAAGCTGCTAGGAACACATCAATATCGTTTCCTGGTGTTCCCGAAATCAATAAAGAAAGCATGATGAACTTTCTCTTCATACACAACCATGGTGGAAGGTTGTAAATGACAGTTAAAATAGGCCACACACTATGACTCCTATTTCCTCTATTCACATCGACCCCGTCAGCCGAAATGCCTAGCCGCAAATTTCTTGGTTCGCTAGCAAAGTCAGGATATTTGTCATCAATGGCAGCCCATGCTGGTGAATCAGCTGGGTGACTTAAAAACCAATATCCACCTTTCTGTCTGTTGCGTGCCATGTTAAATCTTTTGCAGTAGTCTTAGACTGAAAAATTCTTTTCAAGCGCAGAATAATTGGAAAGTACCACAAAACTTTTGCAGGAATATTTTTGTAAATTTTATTTTTTTGATCATCGACCTTCCATCTTGATTTACCACAAGTAGGACATGCTTCCATGTCTGTGTATTCGTTTCTGTAAAGTATACAGTTGTTGGCACATGCATGTATCTTAGTATACCCTAAACCCATTGCCTTGAACGCTTTTTTGGCCTCGTATGTACTACTGTACATTTCGTTACCTTCTGGTAACATATTTTTGATCAAAACCAATAATTCTGTCTAGCACTTATCTGATACTCCATACTTACTCTTTAAGTTGAGTAATTGTATGACTGCAGATAATTTTGTGAAATTAGGACACCCTTTATATAGGTGCTTCTCGGCATCTTCAATCAGTTCTCTAAACTTCTCAGGGTTCCCAATAAAATTTTCTTTTACAGCTTCCACCATCTCTACTGTTTCTGCAGCATCTGCTGGCATTTTTGTGTTCATGGTCGTCGAATCAACAACGTATGACGTGTCCATGTCAAAATTATGTTCATATATATACTTTCTGGGTGGTTGCTCTGTTTCTCCATGCTTATTCCAATTCGTGTATGTTTGATCAATTCCATTCCTGAATAGGTGATCATCTACCATATCCACCGAATGAGATATGTGGTTTACACATTTGACACATGGACATGGAATTCTTATCTTTTTTTTTTGGTATCTACAACATCCATATTTTTAGAAATCTTGTAATTATGTACTGCATATTTCAAAAATTATGCAACACCCTTTACATACGTTTCTGATGTTCTGTAGGCTCCCATCCAAGACTTATCCATATTCAGTTTATAACAACATCAACAAGCAATATATGTTTCCTGTTCATTGAAGCATTTTAACAAACAGTTGGTGTGCATAAACGAAAAAGATCACATTACAATTAAATCCAATAACTGGAAACCAAATACTTGTTAATTGAAGAATATATAATGAAACATGACCAAACGAAATAACAAAGATTAATATTCTGAAGCTAATTGTTTTTTATGTCCCTGTATAAATTAAGGTAGTATGTGTACCTGAATGAATTTCATGTTGAAGTATCAATTCGTGGTTGAAGTATAAACGTAGTTGCAATGCATTTGTATTAAGAAGAGAGTGATTCGATGGGAATGCATATAGTCTAAAAATTCATATCTACGCAATAGGTGTGGATGATCAAGGATATATCGAGAAAAAAACAAAAAAAAAGAGAAAAAAATTGTTCCTAATGGGGTTCAAACCCATGACATTCCAAAATATACCTTTAACTACATTTACACTTACCAACTGGGGTGTCTGACTGTTTGTAAGTGATTAGTTTACGAAACAAACATAACAATAAACTAAAAGAGTAACATTTGCCGAAAATACCCCTGCTTCCTATAGAACTGATCTAAGATAACCACATTTACCATCAATCATACTTTCCTCATTTGAGACAATATACTTAACTGTGGTTGCACATTGTTTTTAATTACCCTTCACAATTGGAAATAAAAACAAATGACAAAAATACCCCTGATTCTTCTCACACTCTTATTGTTTAATTGTAGTTATGCACATCATGATGGGTTTTGCGCATTCTAACACTCCTAAGTGTACATGCAACCCTAAATACCTTGGATCTATGTTTTCTCTATTATACATGCAATTATGAACTTTCCGAGGTATTACCCTATCTAGCATACAATACTTGATACTTGGGTAATCAAATGGATAGAATACATACCTTTGTTTGATATAGCTTGTCTCCATGAAGTTTGAGTGCCTAGTGCCCCAAGTGTGACACCTCAAATGGTTCACACAACACCAAATGCACATGGAATGACTTGAGAGAAATGGAACACTCCTTGAAATCGTCTAGCCCTCATATTCACACATTAGTGCACGATTTCTTGAGCCATGCGATTCTTTTATATGGTGGCTATTAGGGTTACACATGTAACTCATAACTTTACCCATTCCTTATGCTACAGGATTTTAACCTCCATGGAGTATCCATGGGTCACCCATGGACTTAGTCCAACATAAGAAATCTTGGATCACAAGCCCACATATATAAGAATGAATGATTTACACAATCAACCCATATATTTAATTAGTCTCCTTTTGATCACTTAATTAATTCCAAATTAATTCTTGATCAATACTAATTAAATAACCTTATTAATATATTAGAACTTATAATATATTAACCAACCTTAAGTGTTATTTCTCTCATTATAGTCTATCCAAATGCATGATGCCATGCAACCCAAATGGACCATGTCGGGTCGGGTCAAGTCTTACCAATTATAGTTATGGACTTAGACATTAATCCAACACATCATATATGTATCCAAGATAAACTTATTTTTTTCTATCAATACTATGATGATGCATACCCTTAGATGATGTTTCCTTTTTCTTTTCATTATATATACTGAATGACCATTATACCCTTATTCTCAAACACAGTTTAATGGGAAATTATAACATTTTTTCTTTTATTATAAAAACAATTAATTGACGGATATACCCCTGCTTTAGCATAATCTCCATATGTTGATAACAAATGGGACAAACTAATAATCTAACCAATAACTTACCTCTAAAGTGGAAATAAGTTGAAAAGTACATTGCTTGTTTACAAAACAATGCAGCAAAACAGGGACAATACTATGATGATGCATACCCTTAGATGAGTTTCCTTTTTCTTTTCATTATATATACTGAATGACCATTATACCCTTATATCTAAAACACAGTTTTAATGGGAAATTATAACATTTTCTTTCTTTTATGATAAAAACAATTAATTGACGAATATACCCCTGCTTTAGCATAATCTCCATATGTTGATAACAAACATGGGACAAACTAAATAATCTAACCAATAACTTACCTCTAAAGTGGAAATAAGTTGAAAAGTACATTGCTTTGTTTACAAAACAATGCAGCAAAACAGGGACAATACTGACTCAGTTATAAGTATGAAACACAATATAAATAACAACATAAAATTATAATTATAATGAATTCCCATTTTGCCCCTAAGAAAGTTATAATCAAAACAACATCATATTGCTTACAAAAAAGAGTTTCATATGTACTCTATATTAAACACAAAATGGAGTACAACATAGGCCCCTACACTATATTTGTCCATGCTATCACATTCTCCTTCGCCATGTCCATTGCATCTTCCATTTTTCTCTTGGAATGGTCATGTTTAGCATATGCCTGATGTATGTTATTCCATCATCAACTTGCCATTGGGTGTTCTGTTACAAACAGATGAATAAGCTTCTCAACCCTTTTGGATGGTGAGTTCATCAAAAAGTAGGGGAAATTGGTTGGAACAAATACAGGCCTATGTTCAACATATAATGTTCAATCTCTCGGAATTGGTGTGACCTAACGATCATCTTGAAAGTTCCCAAACAATCATCATTCAGAATTGGAATCATTGACAACCCACAGTTTTCTTCGGTTGGCATATGATACCAGTTACCCATAGTTGTATACCCCAAGCTTTTCGAAAAAACGACCAAGCATCTCCATGTTCAGCAAATCGATGTTGACATATGAAATAAAGTTAACTTTTGTCGTTTGATACGACTTACCTGGATAGTCTGTAAAAAACCCGCCATGTACAACTCTAATGGTGAATCTCTTATCGTTTGCTTTCCCGTACTCTACTAACGGTGTGTTTTGCGGTGGTTCACTGCTTACACTCCATAGTTGGAACCTCGGATTTGCCCATGGATCAGCATTCATTTTTGTTTCCATTGATCGTCGGAGTTGTTTTCACAGAGGAGGAGCAAATAATAGAAGTTATCGTATGTTGGTAATGAAGATGTAAGAATGACGATTTTGATATAAGGGGAGGCTTTAAATGGATCGTCATTCAGAGCTGAAGGGACATCGACGTAGGCCATCACTTCCAATTAATAGCAGGCTACAGGGGAGGTACAATTTGAACGACGGCTGTGATAATGATTATCGATATTGTGTTATACATTAATATATTATTTACATTAATATATGTAATATTAAATAAGTGTAACATCAATACTTGCTTTGTTTTTTATTATTACCATACAAAATATAAATTTATATATAAATTAATTATAAATATATAAAATCATTTTTTAAATTAATATGGGTATGGTTTCCTGGTGGTCGGGTGTTGGTACGGGTTGACCAACATTAGGTCATGTAGGGGTGTTGGTAATGGTTTAGGACCAATTGGGTTTCTAATACGGGTATGGGTTGCAGGTGGTCGGGTGTTGGTACGGGTTGACCATCATTAGGTCATGTAGGGGTGTTGGTAATGGTTTGGGACCAAATGGGTTTATAATATGGGTATGGGTTGCAAGTGCTCGGGTGTTGGTAATGGTTGACCATCCTTAGGTCATGTAGGGGTGTTGGTAATGGTTTGGGACCAAATTGGGTTTCTAATACGGGTATGGGTTGCAGGTGGTCGGGTGTTGGTAATGGTTGACCATCATTAGGTCATGTAGGGGTGTTGGTAATGGTTTGGGACCAAATTGGGTTTCTAATACGGGTATGGGTTGCAGGTGGTCGGGTGTTGGTAATGGTTGACCATCATTAGGTCATATAAGGATGTTGGTAATGGTTTGGGACCAAATTGGGTTTATAATATGGGTATGGGTTGCAGGTGGTCGGGTGTTGGTACAGATTACCATCATTAGGTCATGTAGGGGTGTTGGTAATGGTTTGGGACCAAATTGGGTTTCTAATACGGGTATGGGTTGCAGGTGGTCGGGTGTTGGTAATGGTTGACCATCATTAGGTCATGTAGGGGTGTTGGTAATGGTTTAGGACCAAATTGGGTTTCTAATACGAGTATGGGTTGCAGGTGGTTGGGTGTTGGTAATGGTTTACCATCATTAGGTCATGTAGGGGTGTTGGTAATGGTTTGGGACCAAAATGGGTTTATAATATGGGTATGGGTTGCAGGTGGTCGGGTGTTGGTACGGGTTGACCATAATTAGGTCATTTAGGGGTGTTGGTAATGGTTTGGGACCAAATTGGGTTTCTAATACAGGTATGGGTTGCAGGTGGTCGGGTGTTGGTAATGGTTGGCCATCATTAGGTCGTGTAGGGTGTTGGTAATGGTTTGGGACCAAAATGGGTTTATAATATTGGTATGGGTTGCAGGTGGTCGGGTGTTGGTACGAGTTGACCATCATTAGGTCATGTATGGGTGTTGTTAATGGTTTGGGACCAAAATGGTTTATAATATGGGTATGGGTTGCAAGTGATCGGGTGTTGGTAATGGTTGACCATCCTTAGGTCATGTAGGGGTGTTGGTAATGGTTTGGGACCAAATTTGGTTTCTAATACGGGTATGGGTTGCAAGTGGTCGGGTGTTGGTAATGGTTGACCATCATTAGGTCATGTAGGGGTGTTGGTAATGGTTTGGGACCAAATGGGTTTATAATATGGGTATGGGTTGCAGGTGGTCGGTGGGTGTTGGTAATGGTTGACCATCATTAGGTCATGTAGGGGTGTTGGTAATGGTTTGGGACCAAAATGGGTTTCTAATATGGGTATGGGTTGCAGGTAGTCGGGTGTTGGTAATGGTTGACCGTCATTAGGTCATGTAGGGGTGTTGGTAATGGTTCAGGACCAATTGGGTTTCTAATACGGGTATGGGTTGCAGGTGGTCGGGTGGGTGGTAATGGTTGACTATCATTAGGTCATGTAGGGATGTTGGTAATGGTTTGGGACCAATGGGTCTAATATGGGTATGGGTTGCAGGTGGTCAGGTGTTGGTACGGGTTGACCATCATTAGGTCATGTAGGGGTGTGGTAATGGTTTGGGACCAAAATGGGTTTATAATATGGGTATGTTGCAAGTTCTCGGGTGTTGGTAATGGTTGACCATCCTTAAGTCATGTAGGGGTGTTGGTAATGGTTTGGGACCATATTGGGTTTCTAATACGGGTATGGGTTGCAGGTGGTCGGGTGTTGGTATGGTTGACCATCATTAGGTCATGTAGGGGTGTTGGTAATGGTTTGGGACCAAAATGGGTTTATAATATGGGTATGGGTTGCAGGTGGTCGGGTTTTGGTACGGGTTGACCATCATTAGGTCATGTAGGGGTGTTGGTAATGATTTGGGACCAAAATGGGTTTGTAATATGGGTACGTGTTTAGGACCGAAATGGGTTTATAGTAGGTGTATGGATTTTTTATCCTTACTTAATATAAAATAAAATAAAACATCTTAACAAAGTGTTCACACGGAAAAATTAGTACGCTAACTAGACCTTATTCTTATTTTCGTTTTATTATACTATTATCCCATTGTATATACATAATTGAATGTTCAATATTTTTCATCTCCAATAGTGATATAGTTGTACCCTAACGTAAAATTGTTAATTTACAAGGACCAAAGTTGTAACATTTCTATTTTTATCTAATAACTCGTAATAATGTTTCAAAAGCCAGAACATGTTTCCAAACCACGATTTACGCTGTCATCGTCGTATGAGTTCACTATCAGATCAAAATTTGGAAAAATATTGAATTCGTCAATCAAAATTAAGCAAATATAATGGGAGGCAAACATTTTTTCCATTTTGTTTTGGGCTCCAAATCAACGCGGGAAGTATTCATCTATCTCACCGCCAAAACTATGAAGATCAATCCATCAGATGAAGGAAATCCGGTAAATTTGGTAACCGCCTCAAATTAGGACGTACTAACAATGTATTATTTAAAAGACTTTGATTTTTTCAACCATTGTGTGGTTTTTCTCTAGGTTATATCGATCTCAGTTGGATTATATTTCAGTTCATCATTCGGCAACATTCATCACGCATTTCTACTGTAAGTATATTCTCTGTATATGGTGTCAATGTTATTGATTGTATTGATTAGGGGATTATACATAAAACATAAATTTTTTGATTCTTCATATTACTATGCTTGTTGCACACCAACTGTTCGATGAAATGTGTATGTGAAATTTTGTATGTAATATAAGTTTGTCATACTTTTTATTAAACATACAAATAATCAAACTTAATTCATATGTTTCATGTCAACAGAGAATCATGGAGGTGAACAAGGAACAACATGAGGATATGCCTGACTATGATATGGAATATGAGCAAGATGATGGAACACAATTTTATGAATCGGACACAGAAAATGGTGAAAATAATGACAATGACTACAATAGCCATTCAGATTCGGAAGAAGAAATGCAAAGCAAAGTTCCTACAAGGTCACCTAGGAAGAGGGGACTGACTCGATTGCCAAAGCTGAAGACCGAGTATGTCAATTCTGGTGGTAGAAAAAAACGTGTGAAGTTTGATGAATTTGGTAAGTTTACAGGGAAGAATAATGCAGTGTTTGTTAGTTATTTGGGAGATCTTGTCCGCGAGAAGGTGGGATTAAGTGCTCTTTGCTGGACGAAAGTAAAACCGGAAGTGAAGGACAAACTTTAGGAAGAGATTACAGTAAATATTTTTTTTCACTTTTTTTAACTGCATCTCATATTTTATTTAGAAATCATGTATTAAATACTAACAAATTCATTATTGTTTCATTTTAGCGCTATTTTAAAGTTGATGAAACTGGAAAAAGATTTGTGATGAATAGGCTTGGTATCCTTCTACGAAACTTCAGAAGGAAATTGTATGCAGCTTACATCAAGCCACATCTAGGGAATTCCCAAAAAGCTTGGAGAAGTCCCTGTTCGATATCGGGCAATATTACTGAAAAAGATGATTGGAACAAATTTGTGACATATACGCAATCTGAGGAGTTTAATGTTACAACTTTTTCCCAAACTTCTTCATTCATTTATCATAAAATTACCAAAAAGTGTTTGACAAATCTTTTTTTTTTAGACAGGTTGTGTAATGGTTGACCACATTAGGTCGTGTCAAAGTGCGTAAGATGGGACAAATGGGTTATAATATCGGATGGGTTGAGGTGGGGGTGTACTACCTCTTAGGTCATGTATGGGTGTTGTTAATTGGTTTGGGACTAAATGAGTTTTATATTATCTTCATATGTATGCTACTTAACAAATTTCATTATTTTTAATGGTTTAATTTTTTTTATCAAGATATGAAGAGAAGGTTGTCGTGTAAGGAAGGAAATGCCCATCAAGGTATTATGTGTGGTGTAAAGGTTTGGACCAAAAGGGTTTTATAGGGTATGGGTTGCAGGTGTCGGGTGTTGGTAATGGTTGACCATCATTAGTCATTATTTTAATTTTACTAAAATTTTTCTAAATGGGTATTTTAATCAGTTTTATGTTGGTAATTATTAATATTTGTGTGTAGATGGAACAAGAAAAGCAGATAAAAGAAGGACAAGTTAATGTTGAACCAGGCACGGATGCCATGACATTAGTTTTTGGCAAGGAAAAGGGAGGATTTTTAAAGGGTGTCGGCACAGGAGTCACTTACAACATATTTCAATGTTCCTCGCAGCAAAGGATCATCTAAGGAAGAAATTAAAGATCTTAAAGTTGCACTGCATAATGGAAAACTTGAGCTTGAGAAAAAAGATGTTGAACTCAAGGCTTTGTCTACAAAGGTTAATGAACAAGATCAAACACTAAAGCTAGTAGTTTTGGCTCATCTTAATGCAAAAGGAGCTGACTTTCAAAATCTGTCTCATACTGTTGTAAGTAATCTTATTAACAACATGTATTTTCAATGTTACTTGTAAATTGCATTTTTTTAGACATTTTCCATGTTTCTTTATATTTGCTAGGGTATTTCAAGTGACAAGAT